GCACGCGGGGTTCGTGGTGCAGGTTTGGTTCGCGGGTGTTGGGATGCAGGTTTGGTCCAGGGCCGCTCTCTCCGCCCGGCACGGGAGAGCTCCGCAGAGCAGGGACGGGGCACAGCGCACGGGTCTGCTCTGCTGTTTGTGCCGAGAGGTCCTGAATCCCGGCTCGGCGCAGCGCTGTCCCCGTTTCCAAGGAATGCAGCCCTCGCGGCCGATGCCGCTCGCCCGCACGCGTGAGCCGGGCGGTTTGCTCCTCCGGGAGCGCTGGCAGAGCAGCCAGACCGGGCCGGGGTACCCGACACCCTGCGGGAGCAGCGGTGGCTAAAAAAGGCTGCGGTTTGGCAGGGGCAGAGCAGCCCGGGAGAGATGTGCCAGCCCCGGCTGCGGGGCTGAGCTTTGCGCTCGGACGGTGACGTGTTTAATTGTCCTTCACACGGGGGACAGAAGCATCCTCGGATGCTGCGGTGCAGGGAGAGTCCGGGCAGAGCCAGAGGTGCTGTCCTGCTGCTGCACGGCGGGATGGTCCCGGAGAGAGGTGCGGGAGGGACAGGCAGCGGTCCCAGCGCTGGAGCTCTGTCTCCTGCGGGTGCAGAGGGAAAGCAGCAGCGAGCGGCAGGGATAAGGCGTTTGAACGCAGCCGAATTCCCTGCGGCCGTGGCTGGAGCTTCACGGCCGAGTCACTCCGAGCAGGGGACTGGGACAGCACCGCGGTTAGACACGACTTGCCCTCGTAGGGATGTTTAAGTCTCCACTCTTTGCACTGTCTTTGTGGGATGTCGCTCAGCGATGTATTTCATTAGGAACTGAATGAATTGGAGGTCCTCGGGGCAGGATGTGACTCCAGCTTGATCCTATCCCTGCGTGGGGATAACTCCCATCAGTTACAGGCAAAGCTGCACAGGGAAGGGAGGCAAACCAGTGGGATGGAGACAGAAACAAGACACTGCAGGGTGTCTTGTCCCAGCATGCAGGACAGGGGCCAGAAAGTGTCCAGTGCTCACTCACCACTGTTCCAGCTGGCAGTGCTGGGGGATGGCTCTGGGATGGAGTGAACACAGTGCAGACAGAGCTCCCCTCGACAGCATCTGGCACCCTGGAGAGCACAGGGGATGTTCCTTCTGAAACAGTGGTTCCTGCAGGACTGCCAGTGTGGGTGCAGCGTGCCCAGCTTGCCGAGGTGCCACCTGAGGAATGGTCCTGCTGCAGTGACAGCTGGTGTGGGGCTGTCACAGGCATGTTTAGTGCTGGAAGATGAGGCTGCTGCCTTCCTCCCACTCACCATGAGCTCTGCAGTGCCACTGCCACACCTGAGTCTGTCCTGGTGAAACAGGGAAAGGAGCTCAGCAAAACAATTATGTTTTATGTCACCAGTCAGTCAACACACCAACACTGCTGCATGTGCACTGCGTGAGCTTCCACAGGAGCTGCAAACACACGTGTAGCAGCATAAAAGTAGGACAAGGAAAAGCCATTGGGAAGTGCAGGCACTTGGGAAGGGAAGGGAAATGCTCAGTCAGTGGGGCTGGGGACAGGCAGGGATGTGTGACAGTGCAGTGATGGTTGCACCAAATGCAGCAGCATCAACCATCCTGGTGCACTGCAGGACGTGCAGGTTTGGGTCAGACTTGGGAAGAGGCTACTCTACTCAGCCATAGCTGGATATGCTGAGGTTCAGTGCACCAAACAATTTATGCCAGAGACCTTGGAGATGAGCTGACTGCTCTGAGGTGGTTTGCTCTGCAGGGCTGGGCAGGTCAGTGTCACCTGAGCAGGTGAGTGAAGTGCCCCCAAGTGCTCCTGTCCACTCTTCAAACCCTGTGTTGACAAAACAGAAAGAGTTTGGGAAGGAGATACAAAGATGAATTATTTGGAACAGATACCTTGTAGGGTGATACCAGAGAAACACTGCCTGGAAGTTCTCCCTGAGAAGAGCAAGGGTGGCTCGATCACAGTGTGCCCAGGAGATGGTTCCTGATAGCAACAGCTCTTTACTCTAATAGCAAAAGACATAATGAGATCCAGTGCTTGGAAACTGAAGCCAGGCAAATTCAAACTAGGGACAAGGTAGAAATTTTTTAGCAGTGAAGATAATTAACCATAGGAACCATTTACCAAGGAATGTGGTGGATTCTCCAACTCCTGAAGGATTCAAATGAGCAGCCTGCATATCTCTCCAGAGATAAGCTGTGCTCCAGCAGACAGCCTTGGCTCAGAGCAGGGGGAGGAAGTGGTCTGGGGGCAGCAGCACAGGGAATGGGCCCAGAGCATCTTCAGCTGCTCTCTCCTGCCTCAAAGTGCTGATTTTCCAGTTGTAGGAAAGGGATGAAGCCTTGGCACACATTAGCCTTGGGGCTCACATTACTCACTTTGTCCTTGAAGTGGACAGACTGGGCAGTGGTGGGAGACACTGGACATTCCCCCTCTCAGTGCTCTGACCACTGCACGTCACCACCAGCACGGGACCAAAGCATCCACACTGCTCCACACTGTGGGAAGCCTTCAGGCTGCCACCACCTCCCTCTTCATTTTTAATGGCCTTCTTATCACAGAGAGCAATGTCCAGAGGCTGAAAATGAGGTTTTCCCTGTAGGCTGAAGCTCCTCTGGCAGAGCTGCTCCGGCGGGATGGGAGGAGGACCAGGAGCTGCAGTATGGCAAGACAGGGCATGTCAGCATCCCTGTGCCTGCAGGAGCCACCAGGCTCGGTGTGCCTGGAGCTGCCGGGACACGCCGCAGCCCTGGCCACGCAGCCCAGCTGGTAACCGATGGATAATGAGGATTATTCTCAAGTCGGGCTGGCGGTGGAGCAGGGCTCCCTCCCTGCTGGGCACCGTCAAGTGCAGAAGTGTTAATAGGGTCTTTGGCCTCCCGTGGTTGGGCTGCAAAGGGATGTGGGGCTTGAGTCCATGGCGTGGGGCAGCTGCCCAGGCTTGCATGGAGCCCCTGGAGCCAGGGAAGATGGAAAAACCCCCGAGCTGAGCAGTCAGAGGGATCTCTGATGCAGGTGCAGAGGTCTAGGCCGTGTCGAGAGTCTTGCTGCTGCTTAAGGGAGCAAATAGCCTGTAAGGGAAAGGCTGGGGAGGTTCACAGCAAGGTGAGCTGCTCCTGCTGTCCAGCAGTCACCCACAGGTAACCGGTCTGCATCCCAGTAGGAGATGGCCACATGGAACTGGTTCCAGTTGCTTGACAGATCTTGCAGCTGGAGCATGGCCACTGGGGAGCTGAAATGCTTTTTCTGATGCAAACTGAACCAGAAGGATGGGAATAACTGGCATGGCAGGAGACAGGTTGTCCTTTGCTGGTGCTGCCTGAAGCTTGTTGGGGTAAAGGTAGTTGTAAAGATGAGGGGAAAAGCTTCAGGAGCATCTATAGACCTCTCTCAATCCTCTCAGACACTTTGCTATATCTCAGGGATTTTTCTGTCCAACGGCTGTGGAGATGATCAGGGGCCATGCACAGCTCAGGACACTGAGCCACAAACATCTCTGGTTTTACCCCAATAGCTGGGTAGGAGTGTGGATGTTTTGGTGTGCCATAAATAGGAAAGCAACCTCAGCACCAGCCTGCTGCAGAGCCCATCGAAGCCAGCCCACCAGAGGCTTTCCACCAGCTTCTGCAGGGTGTGGATGAGGCTCCAGGAGCTCCAGACACAATGGAATTAAGAAAAAAGGCAAAGGAATTTGGTGTGTGATGTTCCAACACGATCCCGCTATCAGCTCCACTATCTTGAACGTGTCTGGTATGCACAGGTCAAGGGAATAGCTTACTGGCAATGCTGCTCCAGCAGGAAGGCAATGCTCCCTGGCAGGAGAGGTGGGAGAGAGGTGGGAGCCCTGACCCCTGGCACATGAGAGAGAGGGATGCTGGTGTGCCCTTGGCAATCCTTGCTGTCTGTCCATGCTAGCTCCAGGCAGTGACTCAGAACAGGAGGAACAGCTCCTTCCCTCATGGCACTGCCCTCCTGGGATGCTCCAAAGCTGCTGGTGTCCCCTTGAGCCCAGGTTTTACTCTGGTTTTGCATTTCATTCCCAGCAGCAATTCCCAAGCCCAAGTCAGCCTCCTCTTCCTTCCCCCCCCAGCCTGCTCCCTGCATCCAGACCTGATAGCGCAGTGCAAAATTACCTCCTTGCTGGATTTGTGGTTTCCATCTCGGAAGAGAGGGAGCTCCAGGCTGGGTGGATCAGGGCATCCGACACACAGAGGGAGTCAGACCTACTAGACCAGAACAAAGCTCCAAGTGCCAGCACCAGCTCAGCAGCAATGAGAGCAGCCGCAGTCCCGGCCCGTGGTTATTTTAAGGATGTGCACACCAGGGAAGGCAGGGAGAGGTCTCCTTTGAGGATGAACCAGGGGGTTTTAATCAGCAGTAGTGGCATGATAATTAAGGTAGAAGAACCCAGGCTGGAGCACATGCAGCCTTCCTGCACTGTTCTGCTGGGAGGGGAGACCCAACCCTGAGACCTTTGGGGAGGTCTGGAGGAACCTGCAGGTGACCATATCTGCAGTGGGTAGGAGGTTCTGCTGGTTCCTTAAGATCCCTCATCCTGGGCACAGCTGTTTGTGACTTGATGTCATCCCAAAGCATCACTGCCATGGTGCAGGGACCACAGGCACAGGGAGGTGGGTGGGGGAGTATCCCTTCCAGCCATCACCCTAATCCATCACCACTGTGGTGCAGGGCAAAGTGGGTGTGAGGGCATCTCTCACAGCCACCCCCAGAGCAGTGTCCCCTCTGCCTATCCCACCTGTGTGCCAGACAGGTCCCTCCAGCCCCGCTGGACACAGCGTCAGGGATGCGCTGGACGCATCCAAACCCAGCTCACAGCAAATGAGCAGCAAAGTAGCTTTGGTAGAAATTTCCAGCTCAGTGAGGAGTTTGCAGGCCGGTGATTAAAAAACGGTTATTAAAAAATTTAGAGAGGGGGAAAAAAAAAAAAAAAGCTGTGCAGTCGGCACATCTTCCAGGATCTGCCGTAACAGATTCGTCCGAGCCGGTTAACGGTATTTGCGGTTTGCAAGATGCTACATGTCTGGGGGAGATGACAGACACGTTATTATCACCTCTCGGCTGAGATCTGTCCGAACCTGTCCCAGGATGCAGCTCTGCAGCTGCTTGCTGGGGAGAGCAAGGAAATTAGCAGCCGGAGGCAGCACTTTTCTTCTCTCTCCCTTGCCAGGCCAGTGGCTTTATTGGGATCCATTGACTGCAGTCCCGGACACGTCTTGAGTAGGGCTAATGAAGAGACTGGAATGCAGGAGAGGAGGAGGAGGAGGAGGAGGCTGGTAGGGAGCAGGGGGGGAGGATTTGTGGAAAAAGTAATTGTTGAGCAAATCATTTCCTTCAAGAGGGAAAGGAGGCCTTGGCTGCACCCTCCCGAACAGGCAAGTCTAGACGCTTCGGTGTCAACAGTTGAAGATAAATAAGATTTTATCAGCTCCGAATCTGTTGGGACACATCCTCCTAGCGGTTCTGCTGCCTGGGGAGGGCCAGGAGAGATGGACTTTGCCAGGTGGTCTTTCTAGGCAGAGGATTCAGGTTGTTTTCTGTGCAAGGCTGTCAGCATCCCTGGGGAAAACCACCTCTCCCTCTCCTGCTTCCTGCGTGGGGACACAGCCCCAGGGCTGAGCAGTGCTGTGGCCTCTGGAGTGGGTCCTGGTCCTTGCTCAGGGTGAGCAGCAGTGGATGCTGAGACTCAATGTCAATGCTGCAGTCACTACGAGTCGTTGCAGGGCATTCACTCACTGGGATCTCGTGGTGTGCAGAACATTTCCTTGGGCCAGTAGCACTGAGACAACCACGGTGAAGCCTCACAACGGCTGGTGGCACCACAGGGCTCTGTCCCTCAGCTGGGTTATGACCAGCACAGGTGCAGTATGGTCCTAATGCTGTGGGGTGGGAAGATGTGAGGGAACACCCCAAGGTTTCCCCAGTACTGGTGGCAGAAGTGTGGCCGTGGCAAAGAAACCTGAGCAGTGAGGTGGGTGCACTGGTCTGTGGTTCAATCCTGGTGTTTCGGGCTGTGGTTCAATCCTGCCACTGTCTCCTGTTGTGCCTGAGGACTGTGCAATGCCTGTGCTCCCTGCACACTGCTGTGGTGAGAGGTACCAGTGCCTCAGGATGCAGCACAGGGATGGACGTGGGGCAGGTTGGCAAAGACAGGTCACAAAGGAGGAGGGAGGTGCATGCTCAGCAGCACTCGCTCAGCGCAGGTTTTCCTGTCCCTTACAGAGGATGTGCAGTGCCAAGGCTCCTCCTGGCTGACAGCATGATGGGGGATGTAGAGCCCCCTGGTACCCCACAACGTGGTGCTGGTTCTCCTGACAGCTGTGACCAGTCCAGGACTGTGCACCAGGAGCGCTCGGCAGCGGCTGGAGATGCGGCACAGGACAGCTCTGTGCTGCAGGGAGCCACGAGCGTGGCCACCCAGGGCACTGCCTGGACTCTGCTTGCTGAGTTATCAGCAGGGAGTTCCTTCACAGAGCAGTTTGTTGTTGTGGAGGATCTTTGAAGGCGATCCCGGAGCTGTTGGGACACGATAAGGTTATCGGCAGAGACGTGCCTGCGCGAGCGGCCGCCTAACCCCTGGGGGAATCGCTCTGCTATTTAACAGAGATTTATCCATGTCATAACATGGTATAATGAGAGAATTTGTTACCAAAGAACTTGCCATAATGCACCTCTGCTCTTCCAGAGCAGTTATATTTCCCAGGCATGTTGAGGGCTGCCCAGGAATGTCTACATGAAAGGATCCTTTGACAGGAGTTGTCAGTGTTTTAGCACCTGGCAAGGAAGAGCCCCCTCCAAATAACCCTTGTTTTGCCATGGTGGCTCCTCAAACCCCACCGTGGTGGGCCAGCAGGTTCCATGGGACAGAGCTTCCTCTCTGGCCAGGCAGAGGGAGTCACCACATTCCAAGCAGAGCCTGTGCTTCCAGCTCAGGCCTGGTCCCTGCTGCAGATGCAGAATCCACCTGGGAAGCTAACCTGGCCATGGAGTTGAGGTATAGTCAGGGTCAGCAGGTATCAGTGCAAAATTTGGGGATTTTGGTGAAAAGTGGTGTTTTCAAGCATCCTGTATCTGGGTATATCCACGTGCCTCCAAAACTGAGGATTAATTCTTGCTGCCAGGTCCAGGTTCACATTACACCCCCCAGACACACCTCCCAGTGACTACAACATCATATTGCTCCCCCCAGAACCAAGTGGGCACCCAGGACACCCCAGTGTCATACCTCCAGAGCTGGTACCTGCTGCCAGCTGGACACAGATCCAACACATCCCCACACTGCAGGAGCTGCCACTGTTTGCCTTGGCAGAGCCTCTCCTCTTTATATCTTCCCAGAACTTCCTTAGAAAAATTCACCAAAATGAGATAAACCACGAAATGGTTAATCTCATTTGCCCCCGTTGCAGTCCCAGGGTGGAGGGAGCACCTCACTCAGCCACAGGTGGATCCACTCCTGCAGCCAGGACAGCAGGACCAGGAGGCACCAATCCCTCCTGCCTGATTGACCAATCCTCCCTGCCTATGGCCAGGAAAAGTGGGGACTAAGCCATCCATGCCCACCCCCCAATCCCCTCCCAGCCCTGTGCAGCCCCAGCTCAGGAATCCCCCACGCCAGAGTGGCATTGGTGCCTCACTCCCCTGGGCACACCTGTATGTGGATGGCTCAGGACAAGCTTTAACATCCCCACAAATGCTCTGCACGGTGGTATTTTTTTGGCACCGGGCTTTGTGTTGTGGGGATGAGATAAAATACCTGGAGCAGGAACATGCCCTGCCATGCAGGAACGGGCTGCTCCGCACGCAGGGGTGGGCTCGTGTATAGCAAACACATTCCTTGCGAGATGGAAAACAGCATGGCACGGCTGAGGTGGAAGGGAATGGCACATCCCCACACCTGGGAGCCCAGGCAGTTCCTGGGAGGTGAAGGACAAGTTCTCCTTCCCCAATCCTCCCTTGGAGTAGAATGTGCTGCAGTCCCAGGAGCTCTCCCCATCCAAGGTTCTTGCGAGAGGAGTTTTTCTCTCATTCCTCACCAGGCAAACCCCACTGTGCCCTCACCAGGAGGAGTGGGATTGGCAGGAATTGGGTTTATAACAAGTCATTCTTGCAGTGTGAGGCTTTGCTGCTGTGTTCATGTGTCACTGGAGTGGTGAGGAAGCTGCAGGTGGGGGATGTGTGGGGCTGAGGGAACAGGAACTGTTGTCTGGGCACAACAGGAGTGGAAGCATCTGCCTGAGCTTTCCCGGGAAAGGAAGGGAAGGGGAAGCAGCAGCAACAGAGGAAGCCAAGGGTGGCCAGGGGAACATCCACTGTCCCATCAGTGACATTCACCTGACGGATGTCTCCTCTTTTCCAGTACTCCCCCCTGCTGAAGAAGCTCTACTGTCAGATCGCCAAGACATGCCCCATCCAGATCAAGGTGTCCACCACACCTCCCCCAGGCACCATCATCCGGGCCATGCCTGTCTACAAGAAGGCAGAGCACGTCACCGAGGTGGTGAAACGCTGCCCCAACCACGAGCTCGGCCGCGACTTCAACGACGGTGAGCGCTGCTCTCCTTGGGGTCTGGGGAGCTGCATGTCCCCCAGGCCACAGCTCTGCTGTGCACAGGGCGAGCATCCTGGGCAGCCACGTCCGTAACCAGAGGTTTGCCTTGCAGGCCAGTCAGCCCCTGCCAGTCACCTCATCCGGGTGGAAGGTAACAACCTCTCCCAGTACGTGGATGACCCAGTGACAGGACGGCAGAGCGTGATGGTGCCCTATGAGCCCCCACAGGTACCTGACTGCTGGGGCAGGACCAGCCCCTGCTCGTCCCAGGTGCTGTGGGTGAACTGTAGGGGACAGAGCTGCTGGGCAGGAGACATAGGACACATCCTTCTTGCCCTGGCACATCTAAGGCCGTCCCTGCTCACCCCCCACACCACTGGCAGCTGCATTCTAGTGCCTGCAGCCCCCAGCCCTGTGAGGCATCCCAGAGCAGCCTGGTCCTGGGAAGTCCTGGGGTGCAAAGGGAGATTCCCCTCCAGTCCTGCCCTGAGGGCTCCCCTAGTCCTTGTACAGTTCCCTCTTCCAGCTGGGACTCTCCCCTTGCCACCCTTCCCTGTTCCTGTTTGCCCTGCCAAGGCACCAGCTCTGTGCCTGGGGCTCTCCCTGCCTCTCCCATCACACCCTGCTCAGCACTGCTCTCCCCTCCCGGGCAGGTGGGCACCGAGTTCACCACCATCCTGTACAACTTCATGTGCAACAGCAGCTGCGTGGGAGGGATGAACAGGAGGCCCATCCTCATCATCATCACCCTGGAGACGAGAGAGTGAGTGGCTGTGGGAGCAGGGATGGACATCCCTCCTGCTGTGGGAGGGCTGGGAGCCCTCGGGAATGAACCAGCCCCTGCAGGGAGCACCCTAGGGGATGGGATGTGGCAGCCCCAGCCCAGGGCATGGGAATGCTCAGCTCTGCCTGCTTGGAAAAGGGCTGGCGCAGACGGACTGACGACCCATTTTCAGGGAGGGATGGGAGGACACTGCTGCTCTGGTTTCTGGGAGGTACAGAGCCACGATGTACCTCCCAAGAGGAAACAGGGTCATGATTTCTGTTCTCCCAGTGGGCAGGTGCTGGGCAGGAGATCCTTCGAGGGACGGATCTGTGCCTGTCCCGGCAGGGACCGCAAAGCCGATGAAGATCATTTCCGAGAGCAGCAAGCCCTGAACGAGAGTGCAGCGAAAAATGGCAACGCCAACAAGCGCAGTGAGTCCCCTGCTGGGGTTAGGGGGTTGAGGGCACTCAGGATCCCTGCACTCCCCACGTTTGGGCTCCAATCCACACCCAAGCATGATGCTTTGACTTTCTCCCCTAAATCTGAAGCCTCACAAGTCAGAGCTCTCCCATGTCCCTGCAGAGCACACAGCTCTGTGCAGGGCTCTCGTGGCCAGATATTGTCAGTAACACTGACACTGAGACAGGCCCAGGGGAATGGTTTTAGCATCCTGCATGGCTTGAGCCCTGGAGCTGCTCCTAGGACCCTGCCAACACTTTTCCTTCCTCCTTTCCAGCATTCAAGCAGAGCCCTCAGGGCATCCCAGCGCTGGGGACAGGCGTCAAGAAACGGAGGCATGGGGAGGAGGAGATGTACTATGTGCCTGTAAGTGTGGGAGAACTGCACGGGGTGAGAGCTCAGCTCTGCAAGGCAGCAGGACTGTCCCCTCTGCCAGAAACACCTTGGGGAGGGGAAGTTGGGCAGGTCAGGGATGCAGTCTCCTGCAGGGCAGTGGGTATAGAGGTCTTGGAGATAGGAGCAAAAGCATCCATAGATGCACACGTCCAAGGGAGACCTGGACCCCGAACAGTCCCTGGCCACAGTGACACTGCATCCTGCGTGTCTGGGGGGAAAAAAAGGGACCAGGAGGAACTGAGCAGGTGGGAAGGAAATAAAGCAAAGTCCTGGGCTGTTCTCTCCTGCAGGTGCGAGGCCGGGAGAACTTTGAGATCCTGATGAAGATAAAGGAGAGCCTGGAGCTGGTGGAGCTGGTCCCGCAGCAGCTGGTGGATTCCTACCGGCAGCAGCAGCAGCAGCTCCTGCAGAGGCAGTAAGTGGCTGCAGCACGGAGAAGCTCCCCGAGCCTGGCAGGGGGTTCTGATGGGCTGGGGCAGCTCCAGGCCGGGGCAGGGTGGCTCATCCCACCCACCCCAGGCTGATGGGCACACCACTCCCCGGACAGGAGTCAGCTGCAGACATCCTCCTCCTACGGACCGGTGCTTTCACCCATGAGCAAAGCTCACGGCGGAGGGCTCAACAAGCTGCCCTCTGTGAACCAGCTGGTGGGGCAGCCAGCTCAGCACAGCTCCACGCCCAGCCTGGGCCCCATGGGTACGTCCTCGCTCCCCTCGCCGGGCGGGCAGCGCGGGGCTGTCCCTGCCAGGGCTGTCACCGCTCAGGGGCTAACGGATCCGTTTCTTGTCGCTGCCCCGGGCCTGGAATGCTGAACAGCCACCCCATGCAGCCCAACGGGGAGATGAACGGGGCCCACTCGTCCCAGTCCATGGTCTCGGGGTCGCACTGCACTCCCCCTCCGCCCTACAACCCCGACCCCAGCCTCGTCAGGTAGGGAGGCATCTGGGCCTGTCTGTTTGTTCTCTGCTGTTCCTTGCTGTGTCCCTCGCTCTAACCTTCCCATCTGTCTGGCAACTGGTCAACTGGCCACCGGCCCCAACTGAGAAATCACTGCTCCAAAGCACACAGACTGTTCCTCTCCCCTCAGCAACCAAAGCCCAGCTACCAACCAGCCAGAGACCCACTGCCCTCACACACGTCAACCTGGGGAATCCACCCCTGGTAAATCAGGAATTAAATGCATCCCCTAACGAGGGTCTCCTCCTGCACATCCAATGACACGTTAGCTTTGTGAGCTTCCCCCTTCCTTCCAGCTATGCCTGGAAATGGCTCCACAGGGGTTATTTCCTTCAGCAATGCATTCACAGCTCTGCAGCTTTATCATGCTTTGGTCTTTATAAAAAGACCATAGTTGATTTGACAGATCCTGCAGCAGCATCCCCACAGGGCAGAGCCTGGACCCCAGCCCGGGGCATGCCCTGAGCCCCTCCCCGGCAGCTTGAGCTCCCTCACATTATCTGAGTAGCTTCCTGAGACAAAACCTGACAACCAGGAGAAAACCGTGTAGTTTTAGGAGTGAACATCACCCCACACTTCACTTTCAGGTCCCACCTGCGGAGCTCTCCGCGTCCCCACACCTCCTCCGTGGCCTGACACACTGTCCCACGGGGATGGTTTCCAGCACAGCTGTTGTTCGTGAGAAGTTAATGCCACTTTATTTTCCAAACTTTTTCTGCAGTTTTTTAACAGGATTGGGGTGTCCAAACTGCATCGACTATTTCACCTCACAAGGGTTACAGAATATTTACCACCTGCAGAACCTATCCATAGAGGTAAATGCTTTGGGAAGATCTGTTCTTACCACTTGTTTCCAGCAGCTGTTGATCTGAAAAGCAAAAATAAAACTGTTTTAAAGGAAGGGAAACCTGTGCCCCAACCCCTCACACGGAACATGTGCTCCCAGGATTGATGCCTCCCATTCCTGCACCCTCACTGGGCCTTTGCAGGTAGCAGTAGCTCAGGCCTTGGTAAAAACCATGACAGTCTCAGCTGGTTCCTCCAGGCTATCAGAAACAACAGAGATAACAGTTCCTCAGGCTAGAACTCAAGGAGATTTTCCATCTAACACAGACAACACAGCTGAGGTGCTCAGCAGAACACCCCAAATCCCACAGAGCCAGCGGGGACACCCCACTGCAGCTCAGGGAGGTTTCACCTGATCTCACCTCTTCCCCTCACAACCTGTAAGGCAAAAGAGGCTGAAATAAAGGAGTTGAGCCTGGGGCATTTTTATCGAGGGAAGCCTGGAATGGAATAGCCCAGGTCAGGCAAAAGTTGTCAGGAAAATCCTGCAGGGGATGCTGGAAGTACCCGAACACGCCCAGAGCATCAGCCATTGCTGCCTCTCAGTGCGGTACCTGGAGCTGGGGCTTCTCCAGCCCCTCAGGGGAGTGAGGAGAGGAAAACAAACAATAGTCCTAAACCCTGTGAGCTGTGGCAAGCCCCATAAATCCCAGAGCTGGTGTTGTGGCTGAGACAGAGCTCCTGCCCGACCCGCTCTGCCCCAGGCAGGTGTAGCGGCGTCTCTTCCTGGCAGGGACACGCTTGGAGCTGCGGCCGCGGAGAGACGATGATTTGTCACTGGTAGCTGGGGCCAGTTGCGTAACCTGAGCCTGGATTTGGACTGTGTGCTGAACTAACTCCATGACTGTTTGTCAGCTGTCCATGAAAACGTTGGGAATGGCCAGAACTCGTGTCAGGGCGCTGAGCTGTGTGTCCAAGTTGGCGTTTGTAGCTACTAATTGCATACTCACTGCCTGCTCGAGCTAACGCTCCCGTGAGTCTGTGTTGGCATTAACGTGGCTCTCTGGCAGCTCTGGCTGTGCCCATGTCCATCCTGGCACAGGTCCCCAGGCCGAGGTTCCCCACCTTA